CCCGCCACACAACAAAACAGGCCGCACCAGCCGCTTGCCGAGCGACCGCCCCAGCCAAAGAAACTGCGAGCCTGCACGGCGATCGATTACACTGGCCTATCCCGGGGAGATAGTGCAGAGTGGGCTGGGTGAGCTCACGTGGTCTGGAGCTGTTCAGAGGGAGAGTTGGCACATTGAGGGGGTTGGATATTGTTGTTTTGGTGGATTTTTTAGGTGATTGTTATGTGGGGAGGTGCTACAAAATACAACGAGCACACCTTTTAGGCCTTTCTTTTTTTACCTTTTGTGTTTTTATAAAGAGACCCTGTCACCAATTTAGTACAGTGCACATACAAACAAAAATGCTTACTTGCAGTGCTTTTCATTTTCATCAATGATGTTCAGAAGCACATTGCAAACGACAATCGCAATGTGCCCTGAACTTGCTAGAAAATGTGTTTTAGGAAAGGCAATTCCTTAGCACAGCTACATCTGCACATTACACCATCTACTCTTCCGTAGGATTCGAGCACATGCAGAATTTGGCCCGAACTTTGCCTGTTAGATATATTTTTTTAAAGTTGCAAAAAGCCAAAGTTGCAAACAAACATGCACGCTAAGCTTGCATGCATGCATGCTGCATTTGCTTTATTCGAGCAGATGCCGAACTTGACCTGAACTTTGCAGGTTCAACTTTCTCTCCTGATGCCAAAAAGATCTCCCCATAATGGCTTGTAGTGCACTGGGAACTGTAGTCAGGTACATGGCTGTGGCCTCTAATAAATAGCTCTCCCAGCAGCAATTTGACAGTGTGGTTTGGAGTACAGTGAGTAGAATGCAGTGGAGCGTACTTCACCCAAACTCTTGCAAAACTATGACTGGCACACACTCCTCCCGAGCCAATCAGTAACAGCACGGGCATTCTCGGCCCTGCAGCTACACCTCACAAAGGGGCAGGGAATCACTCTGCCATTGGGCACGGAGGGGTGCGTCAGTCACAGTTTTGCATGGGCTTGGGTGAACTGGGTTAGCACAAGCCCCCACAGATCATTAAAGTGACACTCAGGAGGTAAATCTTAAAAATGCATTCAAATACCTTCACTATTAACCAAAATGTATCTTATTTGTGTATCACTCGGCTGTAGATCCTCAAATCATCTCTGAATTGGTGCTGACACTGTGCTTCCTTCTAGAGCAGGGGTCAGCAACCTTAAACACTCAAAGAGCCATTTGGACCCGTTTCCCACAGAAAATAAAACACCAGGAGCCACAAAACCCTTTTGACATTTAAAATTAAGATAACACGGCATATATCGTTTTTTACCTTTATGCTATGTATAGCATGTATATAGGTATATGTTGGCTTAGCAACGTGTTGGACTCTGGGCTTAGTAACGCGCCGGACTCTGGGCTTAGTAAACTGTGATGGACTACAATCTTAATTCAAATTAATAAACTAAATGTGAGATTGTAGTCCATCACAGGTAAAACAACCCTGGGTGCCAGAGACAGTGGAGCAGGAAAGTGAGGGAGAGGCAGAATATCATACAGGCATGATGTTGTCCAGGGGTCGCTTACAGAGTTGCAGAGGGAGCAGCTGCCCTATTTAATTGCATTTAGAACGGGTAGAAGTAAAGGTGCCAATACACTTTACAAAAGTCTTGCGAGGGTTGTAAAGTAATTAAAAAAACATACGATCTGCCCATCTTGGACAGGCAGATCGTACTTGCGATCATCGCAAGCCCACCCCCCTGTGGGGCGGGCTTTCAATGACTGCAATGTTGAACGGGCAGTGTGCGTGTGGGCACACCGGCCCGTTCAGCAGTCATCTCTCGATCATGTTAAAAACCAGCCGAAAATCGTACGATTCTTAGCTGGTTTTCCAACATGCTCGAAATACAAAAGTCGTGCAACCGTACATTAGAAACAGTCGCACGCCTTCCATACACTGCACGATTCTCGTACAATCGTGGGATTTCCCGCGATTCTCGTACGAGAATCGTGCAGTGTATGGGCACCTCAAGGTGCTGGATTACAATAATTAAAGTGACATTAAAGCAGTGGTCTCAAACTCAATTTATTCGGGGGCCACTGGACAAATTTTTTAGTCCCGTGGGGGCCGCTACTATATACGGTACCAGTTTTACTGTCTGCACATGTTACAAGCGGCAACTGTCACCGATTCAAATTAATGATCGGGTTACAGCTGCTGCATGTAAACGCCTGCACACTGCATGTAATCATATGTGAAAGGATTAAATGCAGTTAGCAGTTTGTAACTGCATGTAATCGTATCACATACGATCACATGCGGTATGCAGCAGCTGTCACCTGATCATTAACTTGACTGGGTGCATGTAAACGCCAGATTAGGGATTCCTGCTGCAGGAAAACGCAAGTTTGTGACACAGGAATCCCTAATCGTACCTGAATATAGGGGACCCCCCCCCCATTCCAATCCCCCCGCACACAAGCCCCCTCAGCTGCTTGCATCTGTGCAGGGAGGAGGCACATCATCATTCCCTGGTGATCTAGTGGTGATTAGTAAGGTCTAGTGCCGACCTTACTAATCATCCATCATTCGGCCAGAGCTCAGTACTGACAGAGCTCCGGCTGGAGCTGACAGGAGCAGCTCTGCAGTCTGCATCCGACAGAGATGCAGACCGTGTAGCTGCTCCCGCAAGTCGAGCATGCGGTCTGTGACTGCGTGCCCGACTTGTCAGCTGGCTGCGGGCCACATAGTACCAGCTCGCGAGCCGAAGTTGGTCCGCGGGCCAGTACTTTGAGACCCCTGCATTAAAGGACAATCCACCCCATGTTAGTGTATGGACTTACTGTAAATTATTTCTCTTGATCCGGTCATCTACTTCCTTCCTGTAGTTTTCAGTTATCCCTCCAGCTCTGGTGCGGGTATCCGATCCAGCGTGGACTCCCCTTTGCTAGATGGCACTTCCTGTCCCACAGAGTCTTTGCAGGTGCACGCTGCTCCATAGACTTACCTTGTGTCTCTCCTTGCCTCCCGGCCGAAGATCTAAACTGCGCATGCGCCCGCCCCAGGATCCTTTGCAGCCGCCCGAGACTCTTCAGATGTTCGCAGATGTTTTGCATCTGGTATGCCTGGGGGACAGAAGCCACACTGGGCAAGAGATTTTGTGAGCTCTGCAGGGACAGGCACAGAGATGTCTAACCCCATGCTTTCTGGGAAAGGTCACCAACCTGCTGTCTGCCCTTCATCAGGGAAATCACACACATGCCTTGACAGGGACATGTCGTCAAACTGCTGGCCAAGTTACCACAGCTTCCTGTGTTTCCTGACGGTTGATTGGAGCATATAACAGTTCATCATACTTCTGATTAATTGTCCAATGACACAATAAGCTGAAATGGTGAACGGTGATGTCACCTGCCTGGTTGTGCACTGTGGCCGATCACAACATTCACTAAGCAAAACTACGAATGCTTTCCCAGGTATAATATTTCTTAGAAAGGAACACATCCTTTCCACCCTCACCGGAGTCCTCCCTCTTTCCTGTAGAATCGCTGGCATGACCTTTTCCTTGCTCAAAACATCTGGAGAGGGAATGACTTCCCCCGCATCCAGAACACTCGTGTTTGAAGCGGCAACCACTTCCAAACCTGCAGGTTCCTTCATTGTACTGCCAACAACAACCTTTTTGTCTGGCGGCCAGTAGGCCAGAGGTGGTAGAACTACCGGCCGCCCCGTGAAAAAAGGGGGCGGGGACCCTAGCTGAGGTAATTAGCTTCATCCAGAGGCTAATGTCCGTATGGTCCCAGCGAATAGATGACCTAATTGCTTTGCTCTGACGAAACTGCTCGTCATAGCGAAGCCAAGCTGTACCCCCATAAACTCAATGTGCTTCACCTATGGCATCTAGATAGCAAAAAAGGGGGGAGCAGTGTTCTGGTTCCTTCTCCCCGATAACGCTAGCCAAAATAGCAAACGCCTGTAACCAATTAGAAAAGGTGCTATTGGAAGGGAAAGAAAAGTTGGGGTTTTTTTGGGCATCAATTGACAAGTCCCAATAAGCTCCAAACGACAGTTTATATATATATAAAAATATGTTTGCAACAAAAAATCTGCGCTTTTGGAAAGTAAACTAAAAGTCAAATAGTGATCCTAAAGCTGCTATGAAAAGTGTAAAGTGAAAGTGTAAAGTGTTGTCACAGCGCTAAAGGTTTGAGATAAATCTAAAAATATGTGAATATATATGGATCAAAACATGAGTGACAACACAAGTGGCAAAAAAACCTAGCAATATGAATATAAAGTACCAAAAAACAGGTGTCCATAAAGGACTGAAAAAGTGCTGATGTGCAAACAATCAAAAGGAAAGCTACATTCCTATATAAAAATATATTTATTTAATTAGGTACAAAAAGATAAAAAGCATCAATAGATGCATATGAATGTAATTAAAAGACACACAGAAAACACACAACGTGGAGAGAACCTCCTGGCACCCCCTAAGTTCCAACTAAGAGGCTATATTACATGATCAGAAATCTAGAGACATGATTAGTAAATAACAATATATAGGGAACACATACAATTGATAAATCATCCATGTACTAGAACTGAAAAAACCTCTAGTGGAACCAGAATTGAAAAATCTCTAGTGGAACCAGAATTGGTTCCACTAGAGTTTTATTTTTATTCTGGTACATGGATGATTTATCAATTGTATTTGTTCTCTATATATTGTTATTTACTAATCATGTCTCTAGATTTCTGATCATGTAATATAGATTCTAAGTTGGAACTTAGGGGGTGCCAGGAGGTTCTCTCCAAGTTGTGTGTTTTCTATGTCTTTTAATTACATTCATATGCATCTATTGATGCTTTTTATCTTTTTGTACCTAATTAAATAAATATATTTTTTAGATATAAACTGTCATTTGGAGCTTATTGGGACTTGTCAATTGGTGCCCAAAAAAACCCCAACTTTTCTTTCCCTTCCAATATTACCCAAATAGGGGTTGGCACCTAGTTATTCAGGATCTGTGCACCACAACCATTGTTGTTCATGTTCAATTAGAAAAGGTGCGAGGAA